TAAGAAGTTAAGTGAATATTGGTTCATGGATTAGTTCATGGGTTGTCATCATCAAAAAGGGGGAGATTGTTGAGCTTAGGGGAGCTGAAGACTTTAAGAGTTTTGATGATCACAACAACTTGGAGACAACAAGTGTACAACAACAACATTGAACACAAAAACAAAGTCAAGGAAGAGTCAAGAAAAATACCTTGAAGTATAGCTATGTTACATAGCTTAGGAAGCAAATTGTTATGAATGAATTGTTATATTTGTGTCTGTGTGTGCTTTGAGCGAAGCCGATTCAAGACGAGTCAAGTGCGTTGTGAAAGATAACCGAGACCTATTTGCATGGAGGGCATCAGATATGCCGGGGATAGACCCCAAGTTCCTATGCCATCGGTTAGCCGTTTGCCGAGACGCGCGACCCGTCGCGCAAAAGAAAAGAAAGATGGGGGAGGAAAAGCGAAAAGCTGCGGACGCCGAGGTGAAGAAGTTGTTAGAGGCTAAGTTCATAAGGGAAGTCAAGTACACGACTTGGCTAGCTAACATAGTTTTGGTAAAAAAGTCGAATGGAAAATGGAGAATGTGTACCGATTACACCGACCTCAACAAAGCTTGCCCAAAAGACGCCTATCCACTCCCTTGCATCGACTTTAATCTCCCTCTTACCCTCTAGTTAAAACATAATAACCACCATGATTATCCCGAAATTTTCTTCTCTTATTTAATAAAATATTATATTATCCTTTAATAAAATATCATATATTATATTTTAAATATATTACATAATTAAAACAAATATATAACAACTCTTGTTAATAAAATAAAATATCAAAATTATTAATAAAATTCTTATATTATCTTTCATGAAAAATGGAGTGTTATAGATAACCCACACAAACAAAACAACAATAACAAAAATGCAATATAAAGACAAACACCTTGAATGGGAGATTAGGTCTTTTATTTAAAGGGAAGATTGTTGGTATACAAAAATCTTTACATCGTTAAGATTAAATAATAAATAAAAGTTTATAAAACACACACGTAGAACAAAATATGGAGAGCTGTGTGTAAATAATAGATAAAAATAAGATATAACATTCCTCCTCTAAATATATTCCTCTAGATATCCTGCCTTGTGTATGCAGCCGCGTTAAATCTTGGGGCCAGCTATCCCACCCTTTGAGGTGCCTCCAACGTAGCGAGGAGATTAGTCACTGCTGTCGGCGGTGGATACTCCAGGAACGAACCTAAAAAAAATATATCCCTCTCAAAACAATTACAAACATAACCTTTCATACATTAATAACATATAAATCCTCCTAATTTAAGTGTTAAAACAGTTTCTAATGATATAAATACGTTATTACAGATATTTAAATATTAAATTGCTACTATTTTCTAGCAATAATTGTCATAACTACCCCTAACACTCAGTTCCTATCGTCACTTCCAGCTGAAAATTCAGCCTTGTTTTCAAGGTTGAAAGCAGGAAATTAGTTCTTCATCATTATCTATATCATCTTTAATAGAAATTACTTCATCTTCGATATCTCCCAAAATTACCAATTTTAACTGTTTCTCTACACATGTAAGTGATAGAACTTAAAAGTATAATCCCCTGCTTTTCTTTTCAGTTTTCACCAATTCTTGGTATGCTAAATGGATCAAGCTCTTTTTGAAAAATATATCTATAAAAACAAATACAAAACAATCCATCTTTAACTCTGGAAATATTTAAACTATTTCTTCAACATTTGTAGGGACTTTAGTTTCAATAAGCTGGTTGGTAAAATACCAGACACTCCACATGCAGGGCATCTGAGATTTCTGTAAGTGAGCTTCTCTAAATTTTAAAAAATCATGTTTGGTATATCGGTGGTTTTATGTTGGCTTCTGTTCTCTAAATTTGAAATATGCTGCATTAAACTGAAAGTAGATTAAGTAATTTACCTTCTTTCTCTCAACTATCATAAAAGAGATGAAACTTCTCTCATAAAATTAAATGTGTTGTCACGATTAAAGGCAAGTGTGGGGTGAAGGAGGTATTATTTTAATAATTATCCTCAAGTTGAGTTTGTTTTTAGAAAGAACCATGTAAGCAAACACACTAAAAGTTCCCTTTTATTGCCTCGGAGTTAATAGTAAACCCTTTTCCATTGTTTTTTTTCCAGCTTCCTAACTGGCAACATGCTAAGTGGCAATATACCCGACTCAGTCTTGCTGGATGGAAGCAGTGTGTATGTTTCTCACTAGGTCAATTTAACTTCAATATTGCGATGTATCTTTTATTGTTCCAATGCAAGTGTATTCTGAGCTGTTATTCTCACAACAAGTAGGATGAAATTTAAATTTTAAGCCCACTGACTCTATCATTTTGCTGCTGTCTGTTGGAATTCCTAATTTGTTTTGCTCTATAGTGATAAAATGATTTTGATTTTGTTACAAATTGTTCTTGTTTATACATTTCTTTATTCCTCTGCCCAACACTACGTATTTGTTAGGATACAAACAAGTTCGTAAAGAAGTGCCTGCCGTGTCAAAAGCATGGCAATTTGGTCCATCAGCCGGCCGAACAATTACATTGCATTCCCCCAGCATGGCCGTTCGCCACTTGGGGTGCCGATATACTTGGACCTTTCCCGGTCGCCAAAGGCCAATGCAAATTCCTCATCGTCGCCGTCGACCTGTTCACCAAATGGATCGAAGCCGAACCCTTGGCGTGTATCTCGGCCCACCAAGTCCAAAAGTTTCTATGGAGGAATATTATCACCCGTTTCGGTGTCCCACGCACTCTGCTTACCGACAACGGCCTGCAATTTACCGATCGAAAACTAAACGAGTTCCTAGCCGGTTTAGGAGTGCAGCACAAGGTCACATCGGTCGAACACCCGCAAACGAATGGTCAGGCCGAGTCAGCCAACAAGGTCATCCTCTCAGAACTGAAGAAACGTTTAGGGGAAGCAAAGGGAGCATGGGCCGAGCAGCTACCCGAGGTGTTATGGGCATACCGATGTACCCCCCAATCAACCACGCAAGAAACGCCTTTCCGGCTGGTCTATGGATCTGACGCGATGATCCCAGTGGAAATTGGAGAACCGTCCTTCCGCCGAGCCCACTTTGACGAACCAAGCAACGAAGCCGAACTCCGAACAAACTTGGACACGGTAGAAGAGGTTCGTGACCGAGCGCTAGTCGTGGCCGAGGCCACCAAGCAACGCTACAAGCGAAGATTCGACAGCAGGGTGAAACCAAGAGAATTTCGAGAAGGAGATCTCGTTTGGAGAGCCACAGGTGAAGCAAGAAAAGATCCGAGACAGGGGAAGCTCGCCCCAAATTGGGATGGACCATTCCGCATCCGACACAACCTAAACAATGGAGCTTTCAAGCTAGAATACCTATCAGGAGAACCTATTCCTAGGACTTGGAATTCGACACACTTAAAGATGTATTACAGCTGATGTAATGGTGCACTCTTTTCCTTGACCGACTATTTTTTCCCTAAGGAGGGTTTTTGGGTCGGCAAGGTTTTTAACGAGGCACTTCATTAATAAAAATTCAGAATTCGTTTTTTATTCTATGTCTAGGCCGAGCACTACACCCAAATACGAGGCCGAGCAACACTCGGCCGACGACAACAAAGTGAACTCGTGCCTAACAGGTTTCCCTCCCGAGTACCCTCCTCGGCTAAGGACGTACCTAGGCCGAGCACTATCCCCAACCGCGACGAGGCCCCTGGGCCGAGCACTACGCTAGAACGCGTCGACACCGAACAAGCCTCGGCCGTTCGCTCGAAAATGTACTCGCGCCTTACGAGTCTCCCTCCAGAAGACCCCCCTCGGCTAAGAATGCACCTAGGTCGACCGAACGATCTTTGGCCGAGCACTCGAAAACAAACCCTTCTCGACTAGACACAGGCAGAGTACTACACACTAGAGCAACGAATAAGCTTGGACCGAGGCGTCGCTAACCTAACGCTCACGGCTACCGAACACTCTAGTATAAACGAACATCACGCGTTGATCACAATCATAAATCGAAAGGTTAGGCCTCTCGGCCACACATGCAAAGTAAATGTATAAACGCAGAAAGTTGGAATGCGGTATATTTAAAACAAGTATATCCGATCATAACGGCTACTTACAAAAAAAAATCATCAACTATCCACCGGCGCCAATGGCCAAACTACAAAAAGGCACTAACGGCCCGGTTACAAAAACAACCTACTCTACCATCAAAGCCGACCCCTACTTATCGGCCAAGCCGCCCGAATTCCCGTCACCAACCACGTCTATGATTGGGTCATCCTCTTCCGTGGGTGGTGGTTCCGGTGCTTGTGTGGAGATGCCTCGGCGGGGAGCCTCGTCATCAGGGCTAGCCCCTTTAGGGAACTCGGCATAGCTGATGTACTTTCCCCCATAAAAATCCCGACTGACATCAAAGTTAAAATCAGCCGGGATCTCGCAGAAGTACTGAGCTTGTCGGACTGCTTGCCGAAATCCCGCATCGTGCTGATCGAGGATCTTATCGGTGGCCTCGGCTTTCAATTTGGCATGTGCCTCGTTCAGCCTAGCAATCTCGGTCGCAGCAGCCGCGGCCTCGACTTTCATCTTCTGCACCGACAACTTCAAGTCATCGGCCTCCCTCCTGTAGCCGTCGGCTGCTTTCTTCAGTTCTTCGGCCGACTCGTTAGCCTTTGCATTGGCAGTCAAGGCCTCTTTCACTGTGGCCTCGGCCTCCTTTAACCGGGCTTGAAGTCGCTCAGCTGAGACGGCCGATCTCATCATCACGTGCTTGGCCACCAATGAGGTCCGCACATCAAGCTCACAGAAGAGCTTATACTCGGCCTCCGTAGACATACCCTCCAAGTATTGAAGCCCACCTCCGGTAGTGAGGTCCAGGCTAACCAGGTTCTCGGACTGGACGGCCGGGGCCAAAAAATTCGACCCAGCAACAACAGCCGGGACAGCAAACGCCCCGCATCCGGACTGTTCCAGCGTGATTTGTTTTTGACGTTTGGAAGGGCCCGTTTGCTCGGATTCCACGGTCTGATCAGTCTGACGTGTCCGAGATGTCCCCGTTCTCTTTCTCTGGTCGGCCACCGGAATTATTACGGACGAGGGCTTATCCCTCGGAATCTTTAATGCCGACCTCGCCGGCGGCACCTGCCCGCTAGCCTTTGCATCTTTGGCTCGCTTGGCGAGCATGGCGGTCACGTCAAGGTCCCCTCCGGCCATCAGTCCTGCAACACAAAAAGTCTTAACATCAATTTAAAACACTGCTACACTACCGAAGCCTAACACACATACCTAGCAAAGCCATCTCGAAGTGAGACGTTTCAAATACGTCCAAGAGGTCTCGGACAGGCAAGCCCTTCGGCAACTTGTCAAGAAGCTCCACAATTTCTTTATCCTCGGCAGGGAGCTTTGAAAAAGGCATCGCCTCGAACCGCGTCGGCCGCCTCGTCCAATAGAAGGGGAATAGTGGGCTGCCCTCCCGGTCATAAAAGCAATTTCTTAAATCCGAACCCCAACGAACCTTAAAAAACCCACTCTTAAATCCCTTATAAGAGGAGGTGAATGTTCGGAGAAATCCACGTTTCGGCACTCGGGCTAGCGACACCCACTTTACAAGCTTGCTCGGTCGACAAATATAATAATAGAGGAAAGCAAGGGGTCGAGGTGTTAGGCCGAGACAAAGGCATAGATTCCGGAAAGCCTGCATGGCCGCCCAGGCATTAGGGTGTAACTGGGTCGGCGCCACATTTAAAGCACGGAGGACGCCCATCTGAAAATCATCAAAGGGCAATGTCACCCCGAGATCCTCAAACCAACACATGTAGGCGTAGAAAAAGTCGTCCTCATCGGACCCCGATTCCAAGAACACGAAATCAGTGTTCGGCCCATCGTCCTCACATGCCTCGGCAAGTAGCGAGATCTCGTCCTCCCCTTTCCCGAAACATTTCTCTAGAGACACGAACGTGTCTAACAGTTCTTGGTCGGATAACTTTGAAAAATATATACCGACCTCACCGTCCACCCATTCATACCCGGGCATCTCCACCGTACCGTAATCAATCTTCGCCTTCGGCTGAACCCTCGAAACGGCCACGGCTTTACTCCGACCAGCGTCAACCACTGCCAAAGCGTCTTCATCTGCCTCGGCAACGCCTGCCTCGGCACGAACACTTTGATTGCCAACCCGTCCGAAACCCCTAGCATCCACCTCGGTTGCTTGCGCCAAGGCCACGGCCAAAGTCTTGGGGGGTGATACTTCGACCACTTCGTCTCCACTGTCGTCCTGCTCAGCAAAATCAGAAGGAAAGACGACTTCGCATTGCAGGGGAGGCAACCTCAATACTTCACTTGAATCCGACCCCTCACGATCCGACGAAGCACCCGACACCTCCGAGGATGTACAAGTCCTACCCGAGGAGTAACCCTTATCCATTTATTACCAAGAAAAAAGAATACAAAATTTACCTTTGGTCGGTTTTTCGGTTAGTCCTGGAGAGTCGAGAGCGCTCGGCAAATTTACAGCAGGTAAATTCACTAGCAGCCCTCCCCCTATTTATAGGCAAGGTGAATGGGGAGGTGAAAAGACGTCTCGACACCCCAGCCGTTCGATCCAAGCCATCCAACGGTCCAGATTTTGTAACCGTTGGACCCGTAACCGCTAGGGCCAACGTGGCAGGCCGTATCCACCGAGGCCCAGATGTAAACTCCAATCGTTTCAAACCCCGGCGTAGGTTTCGTCCATCTGAGGCATCGGTTTAGCTCCATCTAGCCTAGACCTCAGCCTAAGCACTGTCCAGTAAAGGTCTCGGCTTGAGTTCTGTAACTACTTCGGCACAAAGTCCGTCCAACCGAGATCGCGCGTGAGCAGTAACAAGCCACAGCATAGGTTTCGTCCACTTGAGGCATCGGTTTAACCCCAACTAGCCAAGACCTCGGCCTCGTCACTGTCCAGTAGAGGTCTCAGCTCGGGTTCACCCATCAACGGCCTAAGCATAATAACCATTCATCCGAGGTCTCGGCCAACATCTTGGCCAGATTCATCATTACTGCCACTCAAATAAAGATCACGTTCTCGACTAATATAGTCCGATGCATTACGGCACTACACAACTGCGGCGTTCGAGAGAACAATTTTCAACCGTCTTCGTCGTTCACATCCTCGACGCTGCGGGGGTTGTATACCGTATGGGCCGACCTGACCGAACAATTGTATGGAACCGACCCGGCCGAGCACTCTAATTTATAACCGAATAGTCCGTGTACCCGATCACACCGACCATTCACGAAATGGAACATCTCGTTGTGCTCGGCCGAACTGACGACATTCACCAGTATGATTACGGAAGGGTTAATTTGCATAATACGCCAGGTTAGTCCCCTAATTTTTCGGGGCCCAATCCCTAATCACGGCCCAACAACAAACACTATAAATAGACCCCCTCTTAAGGTACGTAACCAACTTTTCAACTACCGCATTTAATACGCCGAGCACTTACTTGAGCGTTGGAGTGTCTTTGCAGGCACCCCCCCTCATTTCGGACTACTCGGAGAAGGACGAGAAGACCTAGACCCCGGACCCGACCCGCTACAACAAGGATAATTGGAGTGTGTATCCTAACACCGGAACATAGAAAATTTGCCTAAGTCCAAACACTAACCAACTTAACTACGGTAATAAATTCGCTCATAATGTAACAATATCAATATTAATATTACGTTAATACGTGAAATTAACTAGATTCATTAAATATATTTTAAATCTAAAACATTGTAAATTTAAATTAAATAAATGACTTGATTAAAATCTGAGAGAGAATAAAAACAAAAATAAATCCGTTCCCATCTTTGCTTTCCTCGCAGTGGTAAATGAAATGACGGTTGTGGTTGTGCCTTTGCAGCCATTAATTCTCAGGTCAGGTCTTTTAATATTAATTGAACCGAACAAATCATTTTCGTAGTCTAATAATATTTTTTTATTTCTGATAAACATTTACATAATAATTCTGTCTCTTTGCGAATTGCAACGACATCCTTTTAATTTTTGTTTTTGGTGAAACATTTAATTTGACTTTTTAACCAACTAAGATCATTATGAAAATATATTACATAAAGAGACTGTTTTAAAATTTATTATCATTTTGGAGTGGTCAAATTAAGATCATTATGTAAATATACTACATAAAGAGACTGTTCTAAAACTTATTATCATTTTTGAGTGGTCAATGTGAGTATTATTGGTTAACAAAGTGTCACTTCGTATCATGTAATATTATTTTTATAAAAACAAAATAGATTGACGGTGAAGTTAAAATCTTGTGTATTAATAGTGATCTTACACACAATTTTAACGACACTTGTCGTAATTAATTTAAAATAAAGTCATCGTCCTTAATTTATTTTAATAATTGGTGCCATTATCCTCTAATGAGGAACTAACTTTTGTAATAATAAATTCTCCTATTAGGAATAATAATACTAGAAAAATAAATAAAAAAATAATCTTTCATTAAGAGATAATGATACTAATTATTAAAAAAAAAATTGACTCCCCACTTAAAATTACGACTCTAAAAAAATGTGAAAATTAGTCCTTATCATTTGATAGGGACACTAATTATTAAAAAAAATCTTTCGATTAGAAACAATAACACTTATTTTAAATTATTTAGAATAAGTGTTATTAGAATCATGTGTGGATCTTGACCAACACAAGTGGCTTCTATTTTACTTTCAAGTCATTTTTTTCACATAAAAAATATATATGTGTTAAGTGCTACATTTTTATTAAGTTTATGGTCCAATTTAGAGCATTTATATCAATTTTCAATAGTTTGAGATCTTGTTTTTAACTCAAAACATATATAAATTAGTAGGTGATCACATTTTATCTTTGAATTATGTTTTTAGGTAACTTACAAGCATTTGATTGTTATTTGTAGTTTATGAGAAAGTTAGGAAAGAAGAAAGGAAGCAAAGGACAAAGTGATGAATCCAAAGCAAAATGAATTTTTGACTAAGTCTCCACGCTAAGCCTCAGATCCATGCTTAGCCTCAGCTTGGCACAGAGTCAAGGAACAAACTTCAATCCTCAAGCTGAGAGTGGAAATTGGCGTTGAGCGTAAGTGTTCTAGAAAGTCACTTCCTTCCGGACCTATCCCTCACACTTAGCGTGACATCTCATGCTTAACGTGAATTGTGTTGACATCTCATTATTCATATAAGACAAAAACTTTTATGATCTAAAATGAGGAATTTCGAGGACAGAAAGGGAGGAACCTTTCTTGGAGTTTGTGTGACAGCTAGAGAGTTCTGGAACCTTCAACATCAAACTTCTTTCTTTCTTCATCATTTTGTAGAGTTCTACATGTTTATGTATAACTAATCTCACCCTTGTTGGGGTTTGATGTAACTAAATTCATTCTCATGTGTAAACTCTAAGTGATTAATCTTAGTTGTTATTCAGTTTTATTGCTCTATTTTTTGTGCATAATATTTGTTATGGTTTGATGACCCTTAACTTGAACTTGAAATTTTTAAGAGATATTGGAAAATGATTTTAAACGTTTGAATGGAAGTGAAGCAACAAAACAATAGTTCAACATCATCCTAAATGTAACAATTTAACCTGTTTAACATACTTCTCTCTTACTTTTTTTTTTGTATTAAACAACTTTAATTTTCATTTTATCTTTTTATCTACTTATATTTCTTTTCTCTTCCCTTCTCTGTTTTCTTTTCCTCTCACTACAACAAAAAAATTTTAACGACAATTGTTTAATGACAATAATTTAATTGTCGCTATTTAATTATATAATAAAAATATTAATGGTTAATATATAATAGCCACTAAAAGTGTATTTATATTACACTAAAGTTTACTATTAGCGACAATTATTTATTAAAAAAACTAGTCCCACATCGATTAGAGATAAGATAATTAAATAGTATATAAGTGAGTATAACTATCACCTTATAAGTTGATTTATAGGGTTGAGTTAGACTCTTAATTCACTATAACAAATTAGTATCAAATCACCCACTATTACCAAGTTCAATAGTGTTATAAAACAATTAAAGAACAACTTTCACCTTATAAATCTCACATCTCTTAAGAGATAAGACAATTAAAAAAATAAATTAAAAAATATATAAATAGAAAACAACCCTCATCTTACAAATTTCACATCGACTAGAGATAAAAAAACGAGTATATAAGTTATGAATTTAGAAAAGAAAATTATAGGAATAAATTATTTAAAGTTTTACTAGCAAAAGATAAAAGGCACTAAATGGATGAAAAGAAGACAATTAAAAAAATAAATTTTAATAGCCTTTAAAATGACTACTAAAATTGCCACTTAAAAAAATAAGTTTTTCGACAATTTAATAGGTCTTTACCAGCATTTTATATAAATGCCGGTAATAGTATTAGCGACACTGGATACACCAGCCATTATTTAAATACTGGTATAAAAAATAATGACCATTTATATGATCGCTAAAGAATAAATTATTACCACAAAAACATAATTTTGGTTTAGTGTCTTATACGAAGTAAAGTATGAATATATCAATGATCTGAACATTTTATGATATTAAATAAAATCCTCTATTAATGTGCTACCCTCTGGACCATGTTTCACTCATTGATTTTATTTCTTACAAGTCTTATTAACAATAGAAATTGACAAAGTCAATTTAATTGAATTTTTATAATTTAAGCAAATAAAAATAAATTATTATAAATTAATTAAAGATACAAGTATCTTTAACTATTTATTTGACGTATGTTTATTTTGAATAATATTTTTAACATGAGAGGGGTTTTTATATGTCAAAGTTATTACCTTACTATTTTGTAGTTCAATTTGTTTACGTAAATTATTTTAATATTACTTTCATCAATTACGCGAATCAATTAATATAAAATTATTTAATTTCAGTAATTCCGGGTTCAGATCTAAATATATAATTGTGTTAGATATTCTTAAAAAAAACTTATAATTAAGTATGAATCATAATTTTAGTTGAAAAGATATAAGAACACTTACTCATACAATAATTCTTTTTCTTAGATTCTCTCTCCATATGTCCTACGTTATGCGACTTTTGGTACAAGCTAATTATTTAAATAATAGTTAATTATTTTTAAAGTCAACTATCTCATTTTTTGAGATGCCTCTAATATAAGAAAAAAAAAAAAATGCAGGACGATGTTATTTGTGGTCGAGAGAAACCCGTCAAAGTGTCTAAGTTCAACCAATAACTTTACAGCGCTGTTACGGAAAACAAAACAACATTCACGTTCATATTCCTTTTTTTCTTTTTTTATGAGAAAGTGCATATTCCCTATTCGTTCATTTATTGCTACCATACTCGAATTTATTTCTTTCTCACAATAACAAAAAAAAAAGGATTAATTTTCATTATTCCCACATTTCTAAATATGTTCACGAAATTTGTTTGAAGTTGTTAATAAATTGTCTTTCTCAAGCATGTGCTCTCTTTTGCAAAGTTGAATCGGGATGAGGTTCATTGGATACTTTGATTGTTGAGATGTAATTGTCTATTTCTTTTCTCTATTAGTAAAAAATTTCATGAAATTTAAATCTAGAATAAATAATATTTTATTATTGTAGAGATGTTCGTAAATGAAAAATGCTAATAATACATTTCTCTTAACACACTCATTTTTATTGGATATAATTTGTTAAAAATCATAAAATTATGAGAAAAAGTTATTAATAAGTTATTAAATACTATAAAATCAAGATAGAGATATAAAATAAAGTGTGAAATACATCAAGTTATATATTTTTTTAACAAATTTTAACTAATTAAAAAATGTGCTTTTAACATTTCTCGTACATGAATAATCCATAAAAGTTATATTATAATAACTCCCCTCTTAATAAATATATCTCTGAAATAAATTTCATAAAAAATCTTAAGCGTCAAACCTGTGGTTTTAGGCAGATATAAATTACCTATCACTTTTTTTTTTTCACTGTGTCTTTATTCTTTTTATCAGTATCACTTATTTCCACCTCAATTCAATACTCATAATTCATAAACATGAAAGCAACATCACGTGCATACTCTCTTTCTGCTTTAATGATAGATTTTTCTTTTCCTTTATTAAGTCCAAGTGGATATGTCTTACCTGTCACTTTCCTTTCCTCAGCTCACTTCCAGAGGCACAAACAAGTTGAGGTTATCAAGACAAGGCAAGTATTTGTTGTTGCTGTTGCAGCTCGAAGAAACATTCTGTGTTCCCAGTGGTTGAGTTGAGGATGCTACTACCTAGGACCTTCTTTGCTTTCTTACTCTTTGCACTCTTTTGTTTCAGATGCCTAGAATATGCAGAATCCAAACTACCACAAGAGGAGGGTAAGAATCATTTTTTCTTTTTCATTCTAGTGTTTGTGGAATCCTGAACAAAGTGTCAAAAGGGTACACAAAACGCTGGTGTAGGGGGAATGACGGTGTCCCCTGTGCTTTGTTTTTGCTTGCATCATGAATCTTTCTTTATTCATCACCGTTCTCTTTTGTGTTGCTAGTAACACATCTTAGATACTTCTTCAATATTTGGTAGGTTAAGTTTGACGCATTTTACTAAAATTGTCGTTTTGCTGTAAAATGTCAGAAATTCTACCAAATAAACTAATTTGACCGTATGAACAGTCCCTTGACTTCAATTCTCCCTGCTCATCTTAATAATAGAAAAAGAATAAATGAATATATAAAAAATAAAAAAAATGGAACTAAAAATGTCTTCTTACTGTCCATTGGTATGATTTGTTTTCCTCAATTTTGAAGGGTTTTTTTTTTTTTTTCCTCTTGTTGATCTGATTTGAAGGATAGGTTGTTGTTCCTATTTGTTCTTTACATGACAAGTGTTAAAGCACACTTGGTCCGGAATAAAAGGAATACGCCCCCTTCAGTTTATTAGCAACGAGGAAAGAGTTATGAATATTTTGGTCTTGGATAAACTTAGTTTATAAACATTTTTAAGAAAGCAAAATAGAGAGAAAAAATAAAACAAGTTTCTCCCTTAAATTAATTTATACATAAGTTATTTTATAAAAGTTACTTTTTTATTAATTTTTCTAAATTTATTTTTGATTTATATATAAGTTAATTTTAGTTTATGATCAAATTTATTTTAATTTTTTTTCCAATTGTTCTTTTTTAAAAATGCCTATAAAGAAGTTTATCTAATTAAACCTTCTATCCTTCTACGTTAGATTTAGTACGGGAAGAAGAGTAAGTCTCTATAGTTGGGGCCATTTTTTTTATTATCTGTAGTGATTTTAAGGATCAACCTCAGCTGGCTTGCTCTGGGTAAGACTCTGTTTCCTTTGCATTCCATGAATGCTTTTGCTATTTTTTGTCTAAGAATGCCATCAAGTTTGACTCAAGTCAACCTCAAAAGCCGAGTTCAAGGGGTGTGGGCTCAAGCATTATCTAATAAGCCTAATAACAACTACTTGTATAGCCTTCTTAAACAATCATAGAATTTGGGTTTGAGCCTAACTCTCAAAAAGTTAGATCTTGGAGTGAGAGTTGCCCCTAGTTAAACCAAAGACGTTAGTGAGGGTCTAAACAGTTCACTATTTTAATCGTAGTTAGTCAATGTAAGATCTCCGGCAAGTTTGTAAGAAACAAGGCTGCGATAGAAATAAACAGTTGACATTCAAAAGGTCATGTTGAGTAATTCAACTGAAGTTTTCACACAAATAATTCACTGAGAAATCATTTTTGATGGTATTAATTCTGAGGTTATTTGTTATAAACGGTGTCAAATTCTCTATAAGAAACTTATTGTATATTTTACCTTAGGTGTGTAAATATCTCGTTATTCTCTTTAGAATTTTCTTAGATTTTTCTATCAAATTTTTAAGCCAATCAATCATTGTACACAACTTATAAATATACATAATATTTTGTGCAGTTGACTGAAACTACTAACAACACTTGATCACTTCTGAAATGTTTTTACTCGTCCATGGTCGATACCAATTTAGATAGTGAATCTAGTGTCAGTTCCACATATTATATTTGGAGATACCTTATATCAAGCTTTATTAAGTTCCAACTTCCATTTTATTTTTTATTGTTTTTTTTTCTTATTCTATACAACTTGATTTGTTATGTCATAATTATATTGTCAAATTTTTTCAGTTGATGCTCTTAAGGAAATCACTAGCACGATGGGTGCCACCTATTGGGAGTTTGATAGTGATTCTTGTCATATTAAAATGCTGGGATTAACACCAGAGCCACATAAAGGAAATCCAAGCAGCATTGATTGTGATTGCAATTTTGAAAATAACACCTGTCATGTAGTAAGGATGTAAAAATCTCTATCTTAGCCTGAATGCTTTGAAGTAATTTATGTTCTTCTATATTCATTGATATAGCTAGCTGTTTATATATTTAATCTATTGTTTCCTTTTAGTCCTTTTAAAAATAATTTTCCATGTTTTAGTATCTTCAAGTGGTACAATCTTCCTGGCATGCTTCCACCTCAATTGGTTAAGCTTCCTTACCTCAGAGTGATGTAAGAAACTTTGAACACCTTAAAAATACTTCTGTATTTGTCTAATTAAAATTTAGATTCTTGTTTTTTTTGTCTGAGCTTATTTTTGTTCCCATCTTGGTTGAACTTGTCACCTTGCCAATTAAAATGAAATTTGCTCTCATCGTAGTGATTTTGCTTCCAACTACCTAAGTGGTACGATCCCAAAGGAATGGGGTTCAATAAAATTAACTTTCATGTAAGTTCTTATCAAATAATTGAATTATTCATCAAGTTACTTGCCTTTTGTATTAAATACAATATATTGTGCAGCTCTCTATTTGTTAATCGTTTATCAGGGGAAATTCCTATGGAGTTGTCAAATATTACCACTCTAACATATCTGTAAGTTAATAAATAAACTTTCTCACTTATTTATTTTCTGAAGATTTATGTTCATTGAAATTCAAAGGTGAAACTAAATTTCTGGCTCATATTTCTTTTGCCATAATATAATTCTGGAAGTTTCAAGCAGTATTCTGGCCATGTATTGTGATTACTTATCAAGTACGTAGTTTCAATTCTTAAAGTGTTGGAATGCAAACAAGTCACACATAGATAAAATAAGAGAAAAAAATAATAATTTATAAGGCACACATATTCCAATGATCGTGAGGTTTTTTGGATGATGATCAAAAACAAAATCTTAAGAATTTAGATCTAAAGCGGACAATATCTCAAATAACCCCTACTTTTTTCTCTCTCACTTTTTTTTTCGTCTGAACTCAAATCAGGAACCTTGAAGCCAACCGTTTTTCTGGTGTTGTTCCCCCTGAACTTGGAAGTCTATTTAATCTGCAGACTTTGTGAGACAATGAATTTCTATTTATTTTCCAAGATTGACAATAAATTTGAAAGATTGAACACTCGGTATCTGATGGTTTTTACTTGCAATGTTATCTTTGAAGGATTTTATCATCCAATAAATTGTCTGGGAAGTTACCAGTGACATTTGCTAGGTTGCAGAATTTGACAGATTTGTAAGTTCCGATTAACTGTTTTATTTTGAAAGTAAATACCGAAACATTCCCTGATAAAGATCATTTTATGGTGCACTACAGGAGGATAAGTGATAACAGTTTCAACGGGAAAATACCTAGCTTCATACAGAATTGGAAATTGCTTCAAAGACTGTGAGATTACATTTCATTTTTATTCTTCTTGTTTTTAACAATACTTCAAATGCACTCTAACTTTTTACAATAAAGTCTTTATTACTTTAAGATAGGCATTATCATTATAATGTGCATCATTGTAGAGAAATGCATGCAAGTGGACTGGAGGGACCTATCCCATCAAGTATATCTCTTTTGAGAAATTTAAGTCGGTTGTAAGTATATTGCCTACTATTTTTTTTTTTATTAGTTTAATGTTTCCTCCGGTTTATCTCATTACATCTATATTTAGCTCATGGCGCCAAATTTGATACAGGAGGATCAGTGATATCAATGGTCCAAGTCAGGATTTTCCTAATTTAAGCAACATGACAGGAATGACGATATTGTATGTTGAGTTCTGAGTTATAAAATAGTTGACATATTTTCTGTGCTATTGTTTAATTTAAAGTAATTCACGCTATTCAATTTAATTAGGGCTTTGAGAAATTGTCATATTACTGGAGAGCTTCCTGGCTACTTTTGGAATATGGAGAGTTTGAATATGTTGTAAGTAGGAATTTTAAATTTTTTATGCCAAGGTTTGCTTTTCTTTCTTAATTATTGAAGCAAATACAAATTCCTATACATGCATAGATACTTACAAAGATATTGGTACTAGTATATAAAAATATCGTTAAAACAAAAAGAAAAATAAGAGTTTATAAAACACATACATATTTCATTAGATAAAGGATTTTTGAGTGATGAATAAAAGTAAAACTATAAAGGTGTAAGTTTAAAGTGAACAATAATCTTAATAGGAGAGTCGTCAGTTGATTTGATGAGAACTAATAATCCATAATGTGACATCTTCTATCTTGTATGTCATAACACATAATATAATATAAAACCGAAATGCCTCTATATAATACATAAACTCAAAATTCATACGGGTAAAAAGGATCACAATGTTAACATAAATTATATTTAATGGAAATAACAAATTACAAATGAATTAAAATCAACTACTCAATTTAAATAACATGAATCAAATCCTAACTAATTCTCAGTATTACGTGTTCTATCAAAGCAAAATTCAACATTGAGAACTAGGCCTCATCAACAATATCCTCGACACCATGTTAATGATCACCTACAACAGCTACAAAAAAAAATAATACAAAAGAAAAGGAAGTGAAAAATATTTCACTTTGCCACACGGTGCAGGAATACAAATAACATAAACAATTACACATCATCATATTTAATTCATTCATAGCATAATGAACAACAACAAATAAGATTATAACACATATGCAATAGACACGGATTACATGTCATCATACATGTGACGCTAGTAAAAATATCATACTTGTGCATTAGTCTAGGAGTACATGTTTGTTGAGCTTAGGGGAGCTGAAGACTTTAAGAGTTTTGATGATGACAACCCATGAACTAATCCATGAACCAATATTCACTTAACTTCTTATTGTGCCATATTGTGCCACGAACCACCTGCACAACACACACACACAAGCACAATACCTGCAAACAACAACTAAACACACAATACATAATACCATTTCTCCCCCTTCGGCATTATCAAAAACAAAGTAAGCCAAGGTTAACAAAGAATTGCCATGTACAGATTCTCTCCAGCAATATTATCATAAATGAACCAATTTTGGTTCTGCAACTCAAACCAAATTTTAACCAATTTGTGATGCCAATTGTGCACCATATCACAAACCAAACCAAATCAAGTCAAGATAGTCATTTTCACAGTACAAAAACAGAGTATTCCAAAGCACAAATAATCACATGCATTAATAAAATGTCATCCCGAGACATTTGTGCATGGTTGTGCAACCTTGGTTTTAACATCCAGGCAATAATGAAAGAAATTAAACGAGAGTTTTTCTTCATACCTCCCGCCAAAAATTTCTCGTAGTTGGTGTTAGATGGAACCCTTTGACAGTCCCGGAACGTTGT